GGAAGGAGAGAAGGTCTTTGCAACTCTGTGCTCTGACCCCCGGGAAGGGCTTCCAAAGTTCAAAGCTGGCCCCTCACTGCCAGGCATCGACCTTGCTGACTTTCTATCCCTAGCTCTGCAAAGGGGGCAAGACTCTAGGCAGGCTCTGCGGTAACCAGCAAGCAGGTCTCATCTTCCAGAACCCCTGCCTCTACAAAGGTGCACACCCAGTCAGACTCCCACACGTGCACAGAGTTGCACCCCCACATTGCTTGCTCTGCCTCTCACCCTTGTGAGCCTGAGGTTTCACACACACTCTCACCCACGTTGTGCTACAAACAAGTCTAAACATGGCCCCCATTCACACCACAGCCTCCAGCTCTCAGGAACCTCAGAGGGACTCAGATGCCTTACTCACATGTCCACGCCCTATGCAGGAAGATTCCAGAATACCACAGCCAGCATGCTGATGGCGGCCCTCACCTATACAGCCTCTTAGGGAGTCTTTTCCAGAGATGCAGGCAGCAGACACTGGGCTCAGCTTCTCCACTGGAACATTGGGTCTGGCCAGCCACATGGGACTACTTACAGATTGAAGGTGGGACATATCCTTTGGAACTGTAATGGGCTGCACATGTGGAGGCGTCCACGGCTTTGGTGGCACCTACCAAGCACTTGTCCCTTGAGCAATCTCTCTCCTAGGCCATAGGCCAAGAAGTGAAGCCCTCCTTGGATCTTGAGTTCTACCATCCTTCACCACAGTGCTTCAGGTAGGGCCCTTCTTCCCTCTCTGGTCTTTAGCTTCCTGAAGTGTGGGTAGCAGGGCGAGCCTGATACTCAGTATGGCCCTGTCATTTTGCTGTCTCCACCTCTGCTGAGACCGTGGCACCATGTTGCAGATGTGCCTGGAGGAGGGAGGGTTTAGAGCCATCCACAAACTCATATAACATCACTTCCCCCATGCAGTCTCCACCTGCCAGCCTCCCTCACACTGCGCATGCCAGGCAGGGACTAGGCTCAATACTGCAGCCAGTGAGCAGGGCAAACACCAGCCTCTGCCCATGCTCAGCCACGGCCCTCAAGGGAAGAAAAGAGACTGAGAAAGTTGGTGACAAAAAACAGTTGCAAAACACAAATGAAAACTCTCCTGGGACCTAACTGAGAGATGGGGGGGGTGGGCCCAGGAGGGGGTTCTGACTAAGAGAGATCTGAGGGTGAGTAGGTGCATTGGGCACAAGTGGAGAAGAAATTCAGAGCACAGGGAGGTGGCTGCAGACAGGGAAGGACAGTGGGGAGCTGCCCTACACTCAGAGCTGAGGGTGTCCCCTGGGTCCGGCTTGTGCCCCTCCACCAGTATGGGTGGGGAAGTGGGGTGACACACGAACAGTCTGCAAAGCGGCTGCAGACTGTGTCTGGTGTCTGCTGACATTGGGAGCTGATGGAGACTGATCCACAAACCCTTCGGTTCCTTTTTCCCTCCAGGCCCTGGACTCAGCACTACATACATGTGGGAAGGGGTCCTCTGAAAGCTGCCTTCACTCATTTTCTTTTACAGGAGAAAAATGGCTATTTGTTCCTCCAGCAACCCAAGGCAGTCAAATGTCCAGTTGCACAGGATGCTCACTGTCCAAGACAACCTCCCTACTGGCTAAGAGGGGCTCCCCAAGCTATGTGTCCTCCCTACTGTCCAGCAGCCTGACTCTGCATATGCTGGACATGTCCCTGTGAGGCACCGAGGCACCGAAGGCTATGAGACAAGGCCGGAAGCTAGTGACGTGCTTTCTTTCCCATGATTCTAGATGAACAGGTTAGACAATAGGCAGCTCTCTACCTCTCCCTAAGGGACAGCAGAGGGGCCAGTTCAGGTTGCAGGCTTTGGGGTAGCAAGCAAGCCCTCTGGCACCCAGCGTAAGGGACAAAACAAGAGGAGCCAGAAGATGCAAAGCCCTCTCTGGGAAAGCTGGGAGGCACCCCAGCTCACTTCATCTGCCCTTCATTTTCTAGGTGACACAGTAGACCACCACAGGGCTTTCCAAAGTCCCATCACAAGATTCAAGACAGCCCAGGGCTCCCAACACCTAGGGCCAAGGTCCTCCACTGCTCCCTGCTGACTCATTTTGGAAACCCTCATCTGAGTCTCCAAGGTCAGGGGTCAGCCATAGCCCTTCCAGAGCCCCCAACCCATACCCTGGTGGTTGCCTGGTGGCTGCCTCCACCACCAAATAAAGACCACTTTCCCCATTCACCACACTGAGCTGTGGAGCCACTAGGCAGGCTCCAGGGCCATTGCACCCTCACAAGGGAGCTAAACTTAAGTTTGTTTCTATCTAAATATATCCCTGTGCCTTATCACACAGGAAACTGATTAGCCCTCTCCCTGGTGGCTGAGAAGCCCGGGGCCATGTAGCGCTTCCCAGACCTCGGCAGCCAGGCCTCAGGGGACCCCCAGGCAGCGGAAGGATGAGGTGGCCTCAGCCACTAACAGACACCCAGGTCCCCCATCTCCACCTTCTCCCTCTGGGACTAACAGCCCTCCCCTAGCCAGGGGCTAATGGGGAAAGGTTACCCTCCTCGTAGTCCGTGGTTCTCAGCTCAGCTCACTGCTGCAACGTGGTTGCTGATGTTGTTCTAAAAAATTAGTCATAAATTTTTCAACTATGTTCATTGTCATTCTATTTTGACATTTCCATGTCTGGAAGGCATGTCTAGAAGAAAGAGGGAGACAACCCTCTCGTCAGGGCCAGGGAACAGAGTGAAAAGACTTCCTTGGAGAACGTGCTCCCCTCCCCAAATAAAACCCCACCATAACTAAGACTTGTTCTCTTGTAAAAGAGCAGAAACTCACCTTTTTAGTCATTTTCAGGTCAGGAAAAATCTCTGTGGAAGCCATCCTAGGACCCTCCTGGAGCATGCCCTCATTGACTATCGCCTCACACATGCCCCTTCCCACAATAACTACAACTCCTCTTAGAATCAGCATTTTCTTGCTTTTCCCTGTACACTTAGCACCCAAGTACAGATCCCCAGACACCATAATTTAATTATGTCATTCTGTTTTCGTTTTTGTTTGCTTTGTCTGTTTTTTTTTATTGGCAACTTAGGATGCAAAGTATTTTATTTTTAAACTTCTAAAGTTTGAACACAAGAGAGCCTAGTTTAGATGAGTTTCCAAGCTGAATGCGCTTGCATGGAGCTCAGTTTCTGGCTGACAAACACCCTAGGTGGGCGCCCACGTTCTGATCTGTGAGTGTGAGCTGACCAGCATCCGCTGGTAACGTCCCTTTTTTCCTTGATAAGGGCTTAACAAACATTAGGCATTGTTTTAGTCTTACACAGCCAGTGCTGTTCCAAATGTCTCCTGGGAGGCATACACCATGTACAGAAAGCCGTCTTCATCCTTCTCACTCTCGTACACTTCAGAAATGGGTGTGGACACACTCACCATGCTGTGCCCGTTCACCAGAAGGAAGAAAGCTTGATTGGCGTTAAGCTGTAAGCGCCTTCTAATTATCTTGATGAGCTCGCTCATGTTCACGTGATCAGGTACAAGGAACTTGGTTTTGTCCAGGACGGGCAGTTGCTTCCCACCCTTGTATCGCTCTGTTATCACCGGGATCTTGGTGGGGTGCTGCTCCCGTATGAGCCGGACATCTTCCACTCTTTGTTTGAAGCTGCGGCGCTACTTGAAGGTCTTCTCCGACGGCATGGCGCGGGAGTCCTGGGTCGGAGGCTCTCTTTGTCTGGTTTTTTTTTTTTAAAGATTTATTTATTTATTATGTATACAGAAGAGGGCGCCAGATCTCATTACAGATGTTTGTGAGCCACCATGCGGGTGCTGGGAATTGAACTCAGGACCTCTGGAAGAGCAGTCGGTGCTCTTAACCCCCCTGAGCCATCTCTCCAGCCCTTTGTCTGTTTTTTTAAGACAGGGTCTCACTATTTGGCTCTGACTATCCTGGAACTCACTATGTAGACCAGGCTGGACTCCAACTCACAGAGATCCACCTGCCTCTGCCTCCCACGTGCTGGAATTAAAGGCGTGCGCCACCACATCCAGACTGTCATTTCTGTTTTTAAATGTACCTTTTAGGTCTTTTACTCCCCAGCTTTCCACTGTCTTTCAGACATTGTATTGTCAGCACATAGGCCTGCTGGGCTTCCACAGTCTGGATTTGCGCTGACTGCCAGCTCCCATGGGAATAAGTCCTGGTGAAAATTAGACACTGGAAAGATGGCAGGCAGCCATACTCATCCATCAGAGACACATGATGTCTAGCTGCCCCTTTTTCTGGAACTGCTGATGGTCCTCGCTGCTCATCCTCTGGATTCAGACATCTACTGAGTATGGCAACCTCTGACTTTCATTTTTTATTTTATTTGTTCATCCATTTAGCTTTAAACTATATCCTATTTTTTCTAAAATATATGTTTTATTTTAATTATGTGTGAGTGCCTACGTGTGTGCACACATACGTAAGTACAGGAGTCATATCTCCCAGAGCTGGAGCTCTAGGTGGCAGTGAGTCACTGATGGGAGAGCTGGGAACCTATGAGAACTGAACCCTGGTCCTCCGCAAGAGCAGTATTCACTCTTCCGTATGGAGTCACCTCTCCAGCACCAATTATGGCCTCTTCCTGAAACTTTCATTTGCATTCAATGCTAAGGGTTTGGCTCCCTGGGCAAAGGGGGTATCTGGGGAGATGGAGAGAGGAAATGTCACTGGCCTAATCTTGGGAATCCCTTAGAAGTCCTGACCATATCTCCAAGGTAAAGCCCACTCCAGCTACACATCCAGAACAAGAAACTTCCCTGGAGCCTCTCTCCACTGGCTACTGGGCCAGGCAACTCATAGTCAAAGACACCCCATCAGTAGAGCCCCTCCTTCAGGCCTCCCACTAGCCTCCCCCCCCCCCCCCCCCGCCTCAGAGAAGACATCTTTCTCCAGGAAGCAGCCCTTCCAAGCTCCTCCGCCCCTAGAAATCCCCCCCCCAGAGACAAGCTCACAGGTCTCTCAGTCTCTCTCGGTCTCTCTCTCTCTCTCTCTCTCTCTCTCTCTCTCTCTCTCCCCACACACACCCCTTTCGGGCTGTGGTTTCACATTAGCTCCATAGCCATGGAGCTGTGGCTGATGTTCATTCAAAATTTCAAAGCAGGCTTATCTATAATGCTCTAAAGCAGACAGTCCAGAGGAATTACGTGGGTCCAAGCGTCAGACTCTACCATTTCGTCTCACGTCCCAGGTTCACCACGGCCCACACCAGTCATGACTGGTGAACGTATATGGGCGGGTCTCCCATTGTGGGACACCTTGTGTGCCTGCCTGAGAAACCATATTTCACAGACACCCAGAAATAAGATGGCAGAGATGGATAAGGTAGCCAGACGCCTCCTCTGTGGCACTAGGCAAAGAACATGTATCAAAAGAAAAATAGCAATCCAAACACTGTGGGTCCACTTGTAATTGAAAATGGGGTTTGAAAGGGAGGTCTTGAAGCCATCATCTTTCCCTCTCCTTTTGAAGCTCTCAGGGTTCTCCTTGGCAGATGACATCACTTTCCATCCAGACTCTCCAGCGTCTAACCTCAGTCTTCCCTGAGCTTCCTCCCCTCAGCCTCACATTCAGTACTCCCAAGTCCAGCCAACAGGCCTCAGCTCTGCAAACCATCTGCGTCTCCCCACTTGCTTTGTTCCAGATGTCCTACCACAGGAATGTCCTACCCATCACCCATCAACAGGTCTGTTAGCACAACACCCAGTCCTCGGGCTCCTAACTACCTGGCTTGGACCCTGAGTCCTTTCCAAAGCAACTTTAAGAGTCTCCCAACAGACTCTCAAAGCCTGATTTGGTGAATAAGTGAGTGGGATCATTAATCCCATGTACATTTCTTGAGCCCCTTCTAGGCCAGACTCTGTCCATCCATTTTAGGCATCAAGGATCTAGTAATAACACCAAGAGACAAAGGCTTCTGCCACCTCAGCAAAGCCAGATGATGAGTAGAACAGATCAGTAAATTACAGAGTGAGTTAGGAAGAGGTGTAGAGAAAGTTAAATGGGGCCAGGTGTCTCCCATGGTGATGAACAGAGTGGAGGACCTCAGGAACACTGCCCTGCCGCTTGAGAAAAACTTTCAAGGAGGTAAGGAAGTAGCCTTGTGCAGATATCTGGGGAAATGGATGGATGAGGAAGTGCTGGGCCAATGAACAGAGATGACTGAATATAGTGATAAATGAGAGAGTATATGTTTGAATGAATGAATGAATGAACAAGCAAATAAATGAGGCAGCAAGAGACTATATCTAGACGGATTTTTATAATGAATTGCCTTTCAGTGGTCAAATTGCACTGACTAAAAAAGCCACCAGCTACTCCACAACCTAGAGCCTACTTGGCCTTGCAGGTGTGAAGCCTTGGCACGTTCTTAGACTCTCTTCACTTTGTACATGCCCCCTCCAAGAGCTCTGCAGGATACAGCCAACTCCTATGGCATGGCTGCTGGGCTGAAGGCATAGGAATGCCACAGAAGGATGTGGGACATTTGTGCAGAGAGGCCCCTGGTGACTCTGGCCTTCATGTCATGCCCAGGAGAGACTGCACAAGAGAGGCAGGAAGGTGCTGTAGGGGAGGGGACATCTTCTCTGGCCTCCAGGGCAGGCACCTGGACCAAGACACATCCATTGGATAGGGCTTCCATTCAGGCCCTCTTGGAAGATTGGTACTTGGCTTGGCAGAGGCTGGAGTGAGAAACAGAGGACTCCAGCCCTGTTCCTCCCTGGCCCAGTTAGAGTTTTCTCAAGCTGGAAACAGGGGAGCCCGGAGTTGCCGAAGGAACAGCAGCTATATGAGATGGGAGAGTCAAAGGCCAGGAATAGAGCAGCCTGGATGTCAAAAGTGTGATGCTTGATACCGGCTAAACAAGAGTAGTACAGGGCAGGCAGGGCAGGAGAGTGCAGAGTCCAAACCAGAGCCTCTGAAGGCAAGTGTCACTGGTTCAAATCCAAGCTCTAGCCTCAAGTTAACTACCTAAACTCTGAGGCTCTCACATCTCTGTAGTGGTGGGAATAATCACAGCTGCCTTATAGAAAATGAAATGAAAGAAAAAAAAGAAGAAAATGAAATGAGATGCATACAAGAAACTGTGCATGACTCTGGCATGTAGGAAGTGTTCAGCAGTTATCAATACTATGTCTTAACACATCATTAATAATACCAATTATAATAAAATAATGCATTGATTATTTTATATTGTTAATAAGTGTTGAAAATCTGATCTGAGCAAGCAATGTGTTTGAGTCAATTTAAAAAAAATAGTTGATGTTTATATTTTTTTCCTTAAGTCAAGGGTTCAAACTGGCTGCTAAGATGACAGTCAGTGGACCGCCAGGCTCTAGCCATGACACTGAGTAGACAGGGACATCTGAATGGATTCAGGGAAGCAACCGTGGTGTGAAGGGATAAAAAAAAAAAAAAACAACCCTGTTAGAGATGGCTGTTCCGTCTGCCCAAGACATGCTGCAGGGAGGAAACTGAAGAACTGGGTGGGGGCCTTGAGGGCAGAACTGTGGCCTGAAGGAGATGGAGACCCTTTATGCATGGAGTCAAGTTGTATCTCTGTGCAAAAGGAAAACATTCTTTCACGTCAACAAGGCCCTTGTTTGGTAACTAGACTGCTCAGAATCAAGGGTTTGTCCAAAGGACCTTGGAGAAACTCCACTGCACCAAGACAGGCTTTCCCAGAAGACAGGCTGGTCTGCATCAGTACCAGACTGTTTTCTAATCTGATGCCGATCTCTGACTTGTGGCATATTCACCCTCATTACAGCCTTGGGATTATAGAGAGTCCTCCCTGTTCCGTTCACCCACCAGACCATCCCTACTTCAGTACAGCACATATGAACTCTGCCTTCCTAGGGTTTACAGTCTCATGCAGAGGTCTTCAAACTGCATGTACATCACCAGCCATATGCAAAATAAATAAATGTAATGTTAAGTCATATCATGGATGTAAGATCTAAGGTAGGAGCTGAGACTAAAAAACTCTTGGAAGAAAATAACATAAATGAACCCATAACAACCTGATTTTGACACTGGGTTCTCAGACAGGGGCCCCAAAGCAAAGCCACAGAAAAGTTAATTAATTGAATTTTATCCAAACGTTGAGCTTTTGTGCTTCCAAGGGAGCTCTCCAAAATGTATAAGGTTGGGGCTGGAGTGATGGCTCAGTGACTACGAGAGCATGCTGCTCTTAAATAAAACCCAAGTTTAGTTCCCCGTATCTGTGTCTAGCAGCTCACAACCACCTGTAACTCCAGCTCTCCGGGATCCAATACCCTCTCCAGCCTCTGAAGGTACTGCACTCACAGGCACAAACCCACACCCAGACACACAATTAAAAATAAATATTAAAAACAGTGAAAGGTCAATGCATGGCGCGGGTGGAAACACATGTAAGTCATCTATGGCAAGAGGCTTGTGTCTAGAACAAAGAACACTTGCAACTAATAATGAGCAATTGAGTCAGTTTAAAAATAATTAAGGATCTGAAAAGACATTTTTTTTTTCACAAATAAGATAGAAATGGCCAGTGCACACTTAAAGAGTAATCGTCAAGGAAATGCAAATCAAGATCCTGATAAGATAGCAGGTCGCATTCAGGAGGATGCCTATGGTTAAAGAAAAAAAAAAGTCAGCTAATCACAATAACGTAGAGAAATCGAACCCTCAGACACTGCTGGTGAAAATATAGAACGGTGCAGCCAGTTTGTGAGTGAGCCAGGGGAGATGTCTAGCATTTCCTTAAAAAGCTAACCACAGAGTTACCGTTGGACACAGCAGTTCCACCCCCAGGAATATACCCAATAGAATAGGAACCATATGTCCACACAAAAACTTGTTTACAGTTCTTCACAGCAGCATTATTCCTAACAGCCAAAGGTGAAAATGACCCTATTGTCTCCTAACAGGTGACTGGGTAGCAAAATGTTGTTTTGTTGTCCTGGAAAAGAATCAAACTTAGATGCTACACGAAGGAGCTTGGACTCCAAAAATATTAGACTGTACAGGTCCACAGCCTTGTACCTTCAACTCCAAACCTAAAGAAGATCCAGAATCAAGTGTTTTTGCAGAAATTTGGAGCAAGATTGTTTTTGGTGATACCATCTTCAGCACGTCTCTATGATGTCGGCATTCACATATCCCGTTGCAGACATCAGCATTTGCTCAGAGGCTGCCACCCCTACCCAGCTACTCGACGATGCAAAATATACTCTGTATGTCACTACTCTCCAGAAATCCAAATAACAGACATCCAAATACATCAGATAAAGGGCTTTGAACCCATATTTGTTCACATTTTACAGAGTAGACTAAGTCTGAGGGTCTTAAGCCCCAGAGTCTGGACAAGTCTGTAGCCAGGAAGACGCTAGTGCCTTTGCCTGGTCCTTCTCTGCTACTCTGGCTTCCTCGCTATGTGGGACGGGGACTCCTGTGTGCTCCAGTGAGAGGATGCTTCCTGCTGTAGACCCATTGAGAATCTGCTACTTGGCAGCCACTGGCCCAACACATGGACAGGAGCCAGAGCCTGTGCCAGAGCTTGCTTTCTGCATTCTCTGCCAGCTCACCCTCCATGCATCTGCAAACGGAAAATCCGGGAAGGTGGTCTGCTTTCCTGGCAGATGTCAGCCTCCACCAGCTGGCCTGAATGGTGTAGGTGGGCTGGTCAAGGCAGGCTGCCGAGCCCGGCAGAGGGGCTTCTGCGAGGCGACAAATGCAGCATGTGGACGAGCAGAGAAAAGGAATATTAATTCTGGAACACCCGACTCCCACAAAATCTTCTCAGCAAGAAACAATGAGGACGACAGGCAGAGACCTTCCTGACATGCTCTCCGCCTGCTTTGTGGCGGCTGTTAATATAATCAATAGTAATAATAGCAGCTACTATTTAATGAGTCCCAGCTCTGGGCCAGCAGCTGAACTTAGCACTTCTCAGACACTAACACCCCCAGGGTGCGAAGCATTATTGTCCCATTTTTCAGACGGTAAATTCCAAGAGATGGTGTAAATAGGCCCCAGCTGAGCAGGGTGAAGCCTGCCTCCTGCTGACCAAACACCAGCTCTTTCCCACCCCCACACCAAAGGGATGTTAACCAAAAGTCTATCAAGCTGAACTGATTCCATCAGTAAGGGAGCTTGAACTCCGCTTCCTTCCTTCCTGCTGCCTTTGGCAATATGTGGTCTTAAACTTTCACCACATATTTCCTACCCATTTCACAGATGAGAAGAATGAGGCCTGATGAAGCACCAGGCCATTCTCCCCTGTGTGGCTGTCATCCAGATGCCAGTTCCTGTGGCTCCACAGCAGTGAGAAACCTGGTGGGAGAGACACAATTCCTTTTCTTTAGTAGATAGACAGACAGCCTGAGCCTACAGAAATCAGAGAGAGCCCTCCTGTGTATGAGTCTGCTGTTCACTTACTCCCATTTAAAATCACACACACACACACACACACACACACACACACACACACACACACAGCTCTAGGCTCTGGCTAGGCAAAGGATCAGACACTATCTCCAGGGCAATCAGTCTAGGCAACCAAAATTACACAGCCACCAACCATTTGGTTTCCAACCCAACTGAGGTCCAGATGCGGTGCCATCTCAAGGCCGTAAAGCACAGAGAGGCAGCTCTGGGCTGCCAGTCTGTCAGGAAAGGAGGTCTTCATGGAGAGTCAAAAGGGGAGTAAACCTGGGTCAGGAGGGCATGCTGGGCTGGCCACCACAGGCACAGCATAAGCCACAGCCCATGGAAAACAATGGGGACCCTTAAGCAGATTTGGAGTACCTGGGATATAGAGCAGCATCCTGGGCTCCAGACCTCACCCAAATGGCAGTGAGGAGTCACAGCCAGAAAGACCCTACCTCAGGCAGGACTCTAACAGCCTACTTAAAGGTTCCCACAGAGGAGGAGGGCCTACCAGAGGAGCCCCCAAGTCCAGCAGCCTCTGAGGCTCAGAACCAGCAGTGAGAAGGACATCTCCTGGTCATTAATCCCAGCATGTGTTAATGTTTGATAAATTGCCCAACAGTTGCATTAGCTAATAACTCCCCGAACAAAACCAGAGAGTTCATCTGTTTTTATAAGAGGCCCAAGAGCATCCTGGGAACAGGCACGGTGGTCGTGAATAAAAGAGAAACATTCATTTATGGTAATTGGTTTCAGCTCCTCTCTTGGCTGCTTGTCCTGACCTAAATGTATCCAGTTGTTCCCTCGGCCTGGCTCTGGTTTGGGGGTCACTCCTAATGGTTTAATTCAACAAAAAATGCCTGCCATTTCCTGTAACCCCTGTCTTGTTCCACCCGCCTCCCAAACGGTTTTCTTGCAAGAGGCATCTCGGCAACCCCTCTGTGAGCTGTTTCCTTCTCACGGAACAAAGTCAAGATTGTTGACAGAGCAAAAGGGTCTTAACTCCAGGCCAAGAGAAAAGGCTGGGGGAGGGGACACTCAAAGGTAATAACCATTTGTTTGTCTTCCACCCTGACTTCACAAAGCAGGTTTTGTCCAAGGCTGGTGGCCAGGGACTCTGACACACAACATGGCCCTGGTGACCAAGGGCAATTTATGGGGAGGGAGCGAACACAAATCCTCATTCATGGAGCCGCCTCAGAGGAAGTGACTAGGAGGAACATTTGTGCCCAGCCAGCCGGCCCTCCCTGTGTCCCTCCCACGGGTCTGAGGATGTGGAGGGCTGGGGAGAGGCTCTCTGGGTGCTGTGAGTTTTGGCCAAACTTCAGACCCAACCCTGAGTGCAGCCTTACTCTCCACGGTCAGGCTTTCTTTTCCACTCATAAGCACGTGACCTCCTTACAGGGCAGTGCCCAGGGAGGCGTGCCACAGCTAGGCCCTGGTGTGCAGCTGGACAGGCCTGTCCCTCAGGTGGATTTATGAGCTCTGTTGGCATTGCACCCCCCCACACACACACACACCAGGGAGGGGGCAGGGCGGAGCAGGGAGAGGGTCTGGAATACATTGCGCCGTCCGCGGGGACAGCTTGTAAACTTTGTTGGGATGCATCTGGTAGAAAGGCGTTGTATAAATATTAGATCATTATCGGTGTATTGTGTTTCCCGCTCTGGTGGAGAAGGGGGGCCAGTGGGCCACAGATGCCTTTCCTCAAGCAGACAGGGATGGCTTGTTGGAGTCCTTCGAAGGTCACTGCTTGCCCGTGGGCAGTCCTAGGAGGCAAGGTGGGGGCCCAGAGTCTTGGGGAAGCAGAGGTAAGCACCAATTTAGCTGCCAGAGAATTACTGAGAAGCCTCTGCCCATAGAAGTCAGAGCAGGGGGTGAGCCTGGCAGGTGGAATGGAGAAGACTAGTGGGTATAGGCAGACTGGGGCCACCTTGTTTCCCTATGCAACCCTGTCCCTCACCTCACTAAGAGTCCTTCTCTATCTGTGGGGCCATGAGGGAATCTGGCCTTGTGATAGTTGTGAATACCTAGCCTGTGCCACCTTGTGTTGAGTGCTGGAGACCCAGGCTAACTGGCCAAGGGCTGAGTTTTGCATGCGGGATGTAGGATAACTTTTCTTACCTGGGAGCTTTCTCACCTGCAAGGCATCCAGAGGCTCTGCATCCTGGGGAAGTCTGTGCACCCCCAAACCTAAAAGGGTCTTTGCAAACCAATTGCAGGCAGCATTTTTTCAGAGATTCAGGCCTAGATAGTGCATCAGTAATACCAGGTGACTGTTACCTCCTCTTCATCATCATCACTAAACTGAAGCCCTGCTAAAGCGTCCTGACCCTGGCTGTCCACAGCCACTTGTTAGAGAAGATGTTACTGGGACTCCAGCAGCTGTGGGATCCAGCATCTCAGTGCTCTGTGCTCTGACCTCTCTAGTCTGCTTCGGGGTCCCCCATTGTCTTTCCCCTCTGGGCCATGGAATATGATGGGCCTGAGTCTCCAACTTCTCCGCCTGACCAAGGTCCGCTCTTCCAACTCTCAGCTCACACCTGGGTCTCTGTGAAGCCTTCCCCGAACTCTTGTGGCACCCGGACTCCCTCTGTGTGCCCCTGGATGCAAGAGGACTGCTTTCTCCTTAACTTGCACTGCCTTGAGGTGGAGTGTTGGCCTCCAGGATGAACACCTGGACTTGTCCAGGCCCTGGGAGTGCTGGACCCTCGCCATGTCCCTGGAGTCCAGCAGGAACTCAGAAAAGGGTTCATGGGGGATTTTTGAGTGAATGAATGAACAAGTTGATGTTACCACTATCGTCATTGTCGCAATAGAGGCTACCTGGGTAGACATTTCACAACACATCCACAAGGTCAACACTAGCACAGAGAAGAAAACAAATGCTTCAAGAACGACTTACCTAAGACAGGTGTGGCAACACACGCCTTCAATCCCAGTATTCAGGAAGCAGAAGCAGGTAGGTCTCTGTGAATCCAAAGCCAGCCAAGGATACATAGTGAGACCATCTAAAACAAAGAGGTGGGAGGGAGACTCACCTGAAGTTACACAGGTAGTGTGGCTTTCACACACATATCTGACACCCTTGTTATGGTCTTAAAGAACATCTCTGAAGTAGGAAGCTCAAAGCTTGAAAGATCTGGAGGGGTAGAACTCTGCAGGGGTCCAAGAAGGACTTCTGCAGGAGCTCCTTTGATACTGAGCCCCCACAAGGCCCTAGACAGGAGACTGGCTGAGGAGAAGCCTTACTAGCTGCATGGACGCTCCATGCCCGTGTCTCAGCACCAGGGCAATGTGCCCTGGCTGCTCTGAACTGTCCTCCACACCCTTGGTCTCTGCTTCCGTGGGGTTTCATTCAGTCCCCTCGGCATCTACCAGGAAGATGTAGAAAACGAAAGCACAGAAGAGCAGTTTAATTTGCCCAAGCCACACAGCCTAGAGCAGAGATTCTCACCACTGAGCATATGACTTTGAGAACAGACCCCTTTACAATTTGCATGTGCTCCAAGCATAGGCCTGGATATAGACTCCAGGATCTCATCTACGACCCTGAGCAGTCCCTTTCCAGGATAGCCGTGCCAGAGAATGTGGTGGCTTCTAATATGCCTACAAGCTGAGACTTTCTTGCCACATTCTGTGAAGCTAGAGTGCCAAACATCAGCATCTTTATTTTGCAAGTAGGGAAACAGAGGAACTGGGGCCTGACATAATCAGAGCACTGAAGAACATCTGGAATACCATAGCCATGCAGGGATCTGCCTCAAATCCCAGCAGGACACTCTTCAGGTGAGTGAGAATGTGGGGCATGAACCCTAAAGACAAAGGGCCAGACCCATGGTCACATATTCACCAGCTAGTCTAAGCCATCGATGACTTCCATGCCACTTCATGTCAAGCTTTGCTTTGAATGCCTCCAAGGATATAAAACATATCACCTACCAGTGTAGCAATGGTAGAAACATTCTGATAGCAGCTTGGTAAAGGAAGCATTTTTGGTGAAGTAACAACAGGGAACATCAAGGAGACCAGGCTGGAGGGGCGGGGGGGGAGGTACTGTACTAGAAGCCGTAATCTAGCACAGTTTTGTCTCAGATACCTAGACCTTCCCTTCTGCCAGTGACAAACAAACGTATATGAAGCACTTGCTTGCACGTACTCAGACAGGTGGCTAGGTAAGATCAGCATCCTAAAGACGTAGGGATGACCTTCCTTGCCTGGGTCACCCAGATGAAGAGACATTGCACAGGACCTGAACCCAGACCTTCCCTAGCCCCACATTGCTGTTGTCATTGTCATCGGGCTGCCCCAGTCACCAAAAAGCCACCCACATAGGTTGCCTACGACAGACAGCACTACAGGCCACTTCCAAATCTGGAATGGGACGCCGTGAGCCCCTTGGGATTCTGAGCTCTGTTATTTTTAGATGGATCAGTTGTTCCAACCCTGCCTTCCTACCGAGACCCCCCACACTGATTTCCCAAGCAATCAAATCCACGTGTTACCAGTTCCGGGCCTGGTGCTGGGTGAGGTGAATGCTGGATGCTCACAGTGCCACTAAACGCTGTGTGCCCCACCAGTCTGGTCCTTCCTGAAGGTCCAGACTCCAGTGTGGTTCCCAGGAACCAGAATCCCCACACCTGTCAATGCTTCCAGACCTCAGAAACCCCAGAGGCCAAAGGATAAAAGGAAAACCACGTCTAGAAAGAGAAGCAGTCTGAGGGCCAGGGAAATCCTGGATATGCCCTGACAGCCTGGCCACACGTCTTCCTCCCTAGTGAAGCCCACCTCAATGCTGTGTGAACTGAATGGGAGGGCAGCAGTAGTGCCCACTCTGCCCATGTGACCGAGTGCTATGGGAGAAACAGTCCTCCACAGACGTGTGACCTAGTGTCTGCTCTGAGACTTTAAGCCACCCGCCCCGACCCCTGGAGTTGTCATCTGCTCGTCCCCAAACTGTAGGTAAGAACAGGGCCTCATCCACAGAGCAGCTGTGAGGTTTCAATGACAATGTGTGTGAAAAGCTTCCTCTAGGATACTGGTACCCTGGTCACATCTTAATGACCAGCAAAGGAGTTAAGCTTTGAATACCACAGAGAGGGAAGGAAGCGAGCAAGTGCGCTTCTGGAGTCCTGCGGGAGTAGGGACCTTGATAGGACGGACACTCTGTCCCCTCAGCACCATCCTGGGATTGTTTCTGTCTGAAGCAACCTACCCCACCCCTCCACCTCCACCTATCCCACAGCAGAACATAGCAGTTCTTGGGGGCTCTGAATGGGCCCACTCTTGCAACCTAACCACACGATCACCCCCAGGAAGCACAGGAGACTCCTTTCCCTCTGGCTGTTTCCCTGACCCACAGCTCCGCAGTTCAGTGAGGGCAGGAATGACAGCCAGAGCCTGCCTCCCCATAGCTCTCTGTGTGTGTTCAGCAAGTGCCAGAAGCATGGGGAGCACTAGACTCCCCAAAGGACGCAGAGGAGCCAGACCGAAGGCCTGCTTTCCATCGCACATGCTCACTCTCTCAGAGTCCGTCTCCTCATATGTAAAAATGGCCTGGAAATCCCAAGTGATCTAGACAGAGGAGACACGAGGAGCCTCTTAAACAGCAACAGTCTGGCTCTGAGCCACCACAGAAGCCGTCACAGGAGACAGAGACATGGAGAAGAAATAGCTTCTCCAAGGCAGGGGGGATCCTAGCTCTTGATGACCCAGGCCCAGTGAACAGAATCTATAGCAAGTAAGAAGGACGATATTGGAGGCCTCTCCCTGCTCCAAAAATGCCCTGAAGCCAGTAGAATAGGTCCTTTCTGGATAGATCTTGACCTCGGATCACCCAGGACAGCATCACACAAACAGGACCTACTTGTTTCTCTCTCTCTCTCTCTCTCTCTCTCTCTCTCTCTCTCTCTCTCTCTCTCTCTCACACACACACACACACACACACACACACACACACACACACACACATACACACACACACACCCTACCAATATGGTAGGACTTATGCATGGTCCCCCATCTCTGCTATGGGAGGCAGCCACCTCCCTCTACCAGCCACCCCCTAATTCTTACAATGTGGCTGAGAGCTATTGAGCCTGGGAAGGAGGAGGGGAGGGAGGGCCAAGACCACCTCTGCTGATGGCTTGTTTACAGCCCGCCCATCAAGTGTACAAGCCAGTTAGAACAGCCCTTGGGAGCTACCAGTGATACACTGCAGGCACTGGGGGGGCCTGACCTCTGTCACTGAGAATGGCACTGAGGACCACCCCAGCTAGCCAGAACCAGAACAGCCTGGGTGAATCAAGCCAACCAGCAGAGGCCTGGCAGCTCTGGAGAAGCCTAGGCCTGAAAATAGCAAGCCTCCAATCCCCACCCAACCCAGTGTCTTGCCAGGATAGCCAGAGGGCCTTGGTACGGCAAGGCTTCCTGGGCTGGCTGTGTGAGTCCTGAGGCTGAAGAGTGGAGAGAGATGTGGGTGACTCAGAGCTGCTCCCTCTTCTGGTGGCCCACGTGGTAGGTCTCCAGGCAGTGTCCCAGATGAGGGAGGCTATGAGGAGTAGGCTGGGCTCCTATTCCAAGTTTCCCATGGGCTAGCTATGTGATCCAGGTAGGACTCAACCTCCATAGATCTCTGAAGTGAAAGAGTAAGGATGAGACTCAGAGTCTGCAGAGAAGAGAGATTCAGGGGCCTGTTCACCATTCAGATGAGGCTCCATAGCATGATTCACACTCTCAGAAAGTGGGGACGTGAATCAGGACCTTGTTGGAATGGCTCAGGGAACTACGAACTCCAAAGATACTCAATAAGCATGGTGAGTGCTGCACCATGCTGAGGACATCGAGTTGAATCAGCCTTCTACCTTCCCCCTGAAGACCACTCAGTTTAGCAAAGGACTAACTGTGACGAAAGACAGTTGGTTAAATGTGACTCTGAAGGGATAGATATCAAAAAAGAAGCAAAAACAGGCCATTAATTTCCACTGTGGAACCTAGAAAAGACAGAAGTTAAGCCAGACCTCAAATGGATAGACCCAGGGAGTAGGTACATGTATGGATAAAAAGCATTGGTGGATGGATGAGTAGGTAGCTGGGTGGGTGAGTAGATAGAGGTGTACCAGCATACGGATGGATGATTAGATATGTAAATAGATGGAAGAGCCAGATAAAAGGAAGGAAAGAAGGAAGGGAGGGAGGGACGGAGGGAAGGAGGGAGGGAGGAAGGAAAAAATACTTCATTGGGTCAATTTCTATAAACCTCTAGCCAAGTAAAAGAATAGAATGATAGCTTCCTTCCCTAATTAACTAATAATTAACAAATTATTAAATATTTAAATGAATAAAATAATTCATAATTAAATACTTGAGGCCAAGAGAGGGAACATGACATGTTTAAAGTCTCTTAGTAAATGAATTGTAAATTCAGAACCAGAATGCGAGGCTCCTGACTTCTGTCCAGCAATCTTCCCGCATCATAGTTCCTGCCTGTTCCAGACTCCTGGCCCCTCCTCCTCTGATGCAAGAAAAAAAGGAGCAAGAAGGATTGGAAGTAGCGATGGGACCAACCATGTTTGTGTGTCCTGGCTTCTGTCCCCTGATCATGGACTTGGTTCACTTATCTTTGTCTCTTTCTCTGTCCGTAAAAATGAATTTTGATTATAGACTGGAAATGTGTTTTGAAAGGCACAAAATGTCACTGAAAATTGGAGAAGGGAGGAGTCATTCTGTGGCCCCCACTCACTGAGTGACACCTCCCCCTCCCAGAAAGAAAAGGATCTAGTCCTAGGTCAGAAGAGTCTCGGGGATGTTGTGCTCAGGACCTTGTGTCATTGTGGAGGCTAGAAAGATGGGGTAGGGAAGGGGAGAGAAATCATTCTGGCGCTGGATTCTGGACTCTGGCCTCCATGGGAAGAAAGGCAGAGCTGGGCCAAGCTGCCCACATCCACAGCCGTGTCTGCACATGGGCAGCATGAGAACGATGGGGCAGGCAGTCCGGATCATTTCCACCCTT